AATTGTGAGCCAATTTAAATGTGCAATACAAATATTTGGAACTAATTTTTAAAATTAAAAAGTGGAATAGAAGGTTGGAAAAAAAATCCATATCTTATCTGCATTTTTAAAAATATACATGTAACACATTGTGATACAAATCTAGTAAAAGTTATTTTAAAATTTACAATATTCTGGCACATATCTAATCACACAATGCTGGTCTCAAGAGACCTGGCAAGACTGGTATTGAATTTGTCATGTGATTCTAGGGAAGCATCTCTTCCTCCTAGAATTTGGCCTCCCAATCTGTGTGAATTCAGTGAATCAGATGACTCTTGCTGACAACTCTGCCTAAGGAACGCAGTGCTCACCTCTGAATCTGACTTTCTCTTCCTTATGGACAATGACTTACTGACACTATACTCTGGAGAGGGAAACTGCTCAAGAGGTCAACAAAGACTACTTTCACATAAAGGGTACTGATATGGTTTCGCTGTGTCCCCACCCAAATCTCATGAACTATAGCTCCCATAACCCCCACATGTCAACCCCCTGTGTAAGAGTGGGTGAATCCTCCCACAAATCTCTCAACCACAGCCCAAATTCCATGACAAATTCTTTCTAGCACCTTCTTAAGTGAGACACCCCACGATTCCCCAATGTATGTGTTCTCCCTCGCTGCAACAAGTGATACAGCCAATTTGTTCAACTGTAAGTGGGTTCCTGGTGGTTTTTAGCTGGACCATTGATAGTAGTAGATATTCAAAACTTCTATTGTTATTATTAGAATTTTTTAAAAAGTATTATTGTTGTTGTTATTCATCAAGTAGGCCTAGCATATAAGGTGCATCTCTGAGGAAGTAGCTGAGATACCCATAAGAAAGCAGACTTGGAATAGGTTGCAAAAGGCCTTTTGCTTCATGGAACAGTGTGAGTTGATTCACTTACACACATACATACACACACATCTCCAAAGAGATGCTGACAAGTCTTTAGAAGGCTCCTTTGCAAAGGCAGAGAATGTGCCTGTCTTATTCACAGCTAAATCTATAGCACTCCAAAAGAAGGCAGATCAGGTCACATAGCCCATACTCAATAATAAATTTTTGCTGAAAAACAAAATGAATTCAAGCCTTTTGGGAGACCTTAACAGTTTAATTTGAATAGTGATAGATCAGGCAGATAAATGTAGTTAACACATACAGAATGCTTACTCCCTATCAGACGCTGCACTAAACATTTTACATGCTTTACCTTAGCTGCCTCTTATCCCAGTTCTAGGAAGTAGATACTATAATTAACCCAATTTTATGGAGGAGAAAACTGAGACACAAAGACATTTGGTGTCTCATTGGAGACCATGCAGCTAGTGAGTGCTGGAGTTGGGATTTAAATACAGGCAGTCTGATCCTAGAGTCTGTGCTTTTAATCAATACACTATGCTGCCTGTAGTCCAGAGTAAAGATGTAAAGTGTACTGATATGGTTTAGCTGTGTCCCCACCCAAATCTCACGAACTGTAGCTCCCATAACCCCCACATGTCAAGGGTAGGGTCAGGTGGAGATAATTGAATCATACTGTGCTCATGGTAGTGAATAAATCTCATCAGATCTGATAGTTTTATAAATGGGAGTTCCCTTGCACAAGCTCTCTTGCCTGCCACCATGTAAGATATGATTTTGCTTCTCCTATGACTTCCACCATGATTGTGAGGCCTCCCCAGGCATGTGGAGCTGTGAATCCATTAAACCTCTTTCCTTTATGAATTACCCAGTCTCAGATATGTCTTTATTAGCAGGGTGAGAGAGGACTAATACAGGTACTAATCTACAATTAACTTTGCAGGTGTACTTGTATTGTTTGTGCCCCAAAACACAGAATGCACATTTTGTTTCTACATTAAGTATGAGGGAAAATGCTCATGGAGAACTTTTTATTGGTCATATAAATAGAGCACAACATGGAAATGATGTAGATCATATAATTCACAGCAAAATAACATCAAACACCAAAAACAGTGAGGGAGAACACAGCATCAGGAATAAAAAGGGGATGTAGGAATAGATTTAAGGACATGAAAAATTATAAAGGAGCATAATTTGTAACATTATGCCAATACATTAAAATATGTAGACGAAATGAACTTTTTTCTAGGTAAATACAAATTACCCAAAATTGACTCAGGAGGGGTTAGATGATGAATATGCCAACAATCATCAATGAATTTGAGAAGATAATCAAAGATCTAGCCTTCTAAAATCCATCAAGTCCAGATGGTTTCATGAGCATGTTCTATTAAACTCTCAATGAACAGATAGTTAACTTGATGATTTGAATATTCCAGAGTGTAGGAAAAAACAGAATGCTTCCAAAATCATTCTACAAAGTTACCATAACCTTGCACCAAAGCTGAATGAGAACCCTTATCCCCTAAAAAGAAAAAAGAACACAATTTTTATTTATTAATATAGATGAAATAAACCTTATATTAACATAAATAAATAATTCCAATCTAGCAGTGTATTTGTATAAAATAACATATATTAACCAAGTAGAGTTTGTTTTGAGAAATATAAAGTGTTATAAAGGCGGCATTCAAATCAGTGAGAGAAGAATGGACTTTTTGAATTGGTGTTGGGACAATTGGGTTCTCATTTTTGTCAGATCCTTACCTTACCCTGTGCACAAATACAATTTCCAGATGAAATGATAATCTAAACAACAGAGCTATACTTTACTAGAACATTTAGGGAACTGTATTGTGATTCTGGTGTATGAAGCCTCCCTTGGCAAGATGGGAAATCTAGAAACCATGAATGATAAGACATGTATTTGAAACTGCTTTAGAGAGAAAAACTCCATAAACAGTAGTCAGTCATCATAAATACTGGGTACTAGGAAGGTACATTTCTCTAACTGATACTATAGACACTAAGTGATAAAGGCAACTTATGGAACAATATTTTTGCACTTAAAAGACAAAATTGATAATCCTCCAGCAAGCTTGGAAAAAAATGGGAATGGAGCAACAGAAAACACAAATAAACAATATCAGCAATAAGAAGAAGGCACAGAACAGTATCAGAGATGAAAATAAATAAAAGGTGACACTATTTGTAACTTTGTGTCAGAAAATTTGAAAATGCAGATGAGATGGACAATATCCTGGGAAAATATAAATTACTAAAAATGACTCAAGAAGTAGGGATTTAAAAAACAGGGCAAATAGAACCCCTGTGTGCATATACATGTATCTAGACAAAAATGCTGGTTACCTCTGGGGAACTGATTACTGGGGAAGGACACTGCAGGGTGGGGGAGGAGGGGGCACTCACTTTCTATTTTTTTTTTTGGAAAGCATTTTAGTTTTTTTTTTTTGTAGAGACTTTTTTTTTTGTAAGTCTCACTAGGTTGCCCAAGCTGGTTTTGAACTCCTGGCCTCAAGCGGTCCTCCTGCCTTGGCCTCCCAAAGCACTGCGATTTACAAGCATGAGCCACTTACTTTCTAAATACAATGCCTTATGCTTTCAATCATATACAGTAACTATTAACTACTTTGTAAAACGGAAACGAAGATTGTCAGCGAACGACTCCACGGGAAGCCCTGGGAATAGGTAGCGCGCAGGCAAAAGCATGGATTTGGAATGAAATCCAATGGCCATGGAACCAGCCCTGATCATCAGATTGCCCCCCAGTTTTGAGGATCACACTGGCACCCTCCTGTCTCCCTCTCTTTTCTACACTATGGACAAACAGCCTTGAGATTCCAGGGCGTATGTGAAGGAAAGCCGAGGAGGGCAGGGCCGCAGAAAGAACAAAGGAGACACAAGTTCAAATCCCTGCCAGGGTCTGAGACCTGCAACGTCAGACTTTGGGAGCGTCCCTTCACTTCTCCGGACCCCAAGGGTGGCCGCGCCTGCTCCGCGCTCACCCTTGGGGAGTGTAGGAGCCCCCTGCAAAGTTGCTGAGCGAGTCGGAGCCCCAAGAGCTAGGGTCGAGGGGGTGGGGCGGCAGGCGCCTCTGCCGAGGCTGCAGGTAGGCACTTCCCCACCCCCGCGGCCCCCTCCTTCCTCCTTCCTTGCAGCTCGCACACCCACACAACCCTCGCCCGTCTCGGCTGGAGAGCTGCTTTCGGCGCCAGCGGGCAGCAGCGCGTCGTCAGCCAGCACAGCCGGCCGAAGACCAAGCCGGAGGGCTGGGGCTGCGCAGAGACCTGCACACCCGCAGCGCGGAACCGGGGGCGATTCCTATCTTTCTTTCATGCTTCTTTCTTTTTCTTAAAACCAGACCAAACCAAACTCAAAACTCCCCTGTTCACACCGCAACTTGGAGGAGCGGTGGAATGATTTGAAGGAACTGACGCAGAGGTTTTATTCATGAACCTTGAAGAAGTTCTGGGCAAGTGACTCAACAGGACCCTTGGGGGCCGGAGTAGCCCCAGCTCCCAGCGCTGGTTCAGTCTGGCAGTGCCCTCTGCCAGCCAACCCGCAGCTGCAGGTAGGGGTGCGAGACGCCCCCTGATTTTGCTTTGGGAATAATAATGACACTACCCATAGCTTGGACCCAGGTGGCCTCGCTCGGCGACTGTCCCCACCAGGTAAGCGCACCCCCCAGGGGTCTGCATTGGTCACCCGGGTGGGGACCTCGAGCTCCCGAGAAGTCAGTCCATGCTGTTTAGCCACAGGCAGGAGTGGGGAACTGGTAGGACAGAGCTTGCTTTTATCACAGGAAATTGTGGGAGACGGGAATGGAAGGCGGATTTAACATTTTTTATTTTTGCATTGACGCGTGGGGATGAGATGCGTAGGGGCCTGGATTCTTGTAGGAAATGGTTGCGGAGCGGGACTGGACGATAGGTGTCTGGATTTTTGCAGGGACTGAATGGGGAGAAAGGTCGTTAATTTTTGCAGAAACCTGTGAGGAACTGGCGGTGAGAGGTTATGATCCTGAAAATGTGCACGAAATTGTAAAAAGTAGGCATCTAGGCATTTCTGGGAAATGATGGGAGAAGCACTTACCGCCCTGGTTTCACCTGACCCCCACGCTCGGCCTTCTGGAAGATGCCCACAGACACTGGCAATAATGGACGCCGGCACACTCTGCCGGCGCGGCCGGAGCCCCGGAGTTCAGTACCTCGGACAGTGCCCGCGCCCCACAGCCCAAGGCGCACAGTGAGCGCCGACAGCCAGGCTCCCTAGCCCCCGGCCACCGTTGCTCTCAGTTCAGGGCAGCTACGTAACACCGCCCCTAGCTCCGCGCCAGAAAGGGCTCTCGAATCGCAAAAGCAAACGTGTTCGATTTCTGATCTGCTCGTAACTGCTTCCCGTGACTGCAGAAGGAAGAGGCGGAGTGTAAAGATATCTCCCAAGCTTCCGCGAAAACTACAGCCAAACGGTGTGGCCTCCCTGGGTTTCGGAAGGTGTACCCAAACTTCTTTAAAAATCTAGCATTTATTAAGCGCTTACCCTGTGCCAAGGCCCCGTGCTAAGCCAGTGCACCACAAATTTGTGTCCTATGAATATCCCCATTTTACAGATGAGAAAACTGAAGCAAGAGAGGCCGAGTAACTTGTCCAGGTTTATGGAACTACCAAATGGTATGCTGCGCTCTTAAACGCTGCCAGATTGCAGTGGTGGGAAGATATACTTGAGTGGGATTCCCTGCGTGAAATAGTTCTGAACTTGGGGTCAGAGCAACAGAGTTTAAATCAAAGCCATAGCACTTACAAACGTGTGCCCTTAGACAAAATTACTAAATGTGTCTGAACTTCAGATTTTAACTATCTGTAAATACTTGATAATGCTTTCCTTGCAGAAGTGTCAGGGGAGGGTGGCCAAGGAGATAATATGTGTGGAAAGACTGGAAACTGGGAATTGTGGTTGGGTGTTAGGGGCTGAAAGCAGGGAGCAGGTAATTAGAAGAGAAGGAGAATCGGTGGTGAATACTTCCCTCAGCACACTCCAAGGGGGCTGGACACAGAGCGGGGCTCAGTGGGAGGAATTCTGGATGAGCTTAGTTCAGTGTGTAATAGCCTCTTAGATTTTTTTAACAGGACTTTATAGAGAGTGTGGACATATTGCCTATCATTTGATCCTTGTAACAATCTTGTTAAGTAGGCAGGACTGGGGTTATTCTACTCGTTTAGCAAAATGATGCTTGCCTGAAATTACTCAGGTACTTAGTAGCAGAGCTGGGATTAGAATACAGATCTCCCACCTCTCTAGCTTATAATCCTTCCACATGGACTGGCACATCCTCAGGAGCTTGGATTATGGGGCATTTACAGCACTAAAGTGTATTTAGACAAGTACTATAAATACGTGAAGTTGATGTTTTTTAAAACCATTTTGAAACCAGCAGTTTCATATGGATCAACCTCATAAACATTTATTGATTATTGATTTTGTTCCACAAAGAATTTAAAGCAGTTTATAAGGCTCCACAAGATGTCAGGTTTGCATATATTCAAAGTAGTCAAGAAAGCAGAGGTGAAACAAGATTAAGGCTATAGCCACAGATAGAATGAATACAAATGACATATATTATAAAGTCCTAGAAACTTGCTCTGGTCTCTAAGTACTAGAAAGTGTATATCCAAGTCCTTTCTTGGAGGTCTAGGAACTTTGAAGATGTCTGCAAAAGTCTGTGGACTCTTCTTTTTTGTATAATTTCATCCCTTACCCTCTGTGAGATCTTCACTGTGCCAAACAAGGGATGTTTGACTGGAAATACAATGTCAGTGTGACTCGAAGAAGGGGAATAAAGTGTATGACATTGTATCTGCACTCAGGTAATTAAGTGTTAGTTACATAATTTCTAATGGTTCACATGAGCACACCATACTTTAAAGTTTATATAAAGGTTTACATCCATTAGCTTATTTAGGCCTTCTAACAACTCTGAAGAGATAAGCAGCTATGAAGTGACAGGAAGGACAAAATGCTAGCATCATGATTTTATATACTATGTATTTTACTTTCATACACAAACCGGCATCCCTACACAGGCATGTTAAGTAACCTGAATGTTTGAATCGGGCCAATTGTAAGACTACGGAGAATGACAGAGCCTTTTCAAACTGAGCAGTGAATAATCCATCTTAAAACATTCAAAGAAGATTTAAAACACAGTGCCAGCCAAGCAAGACATGACTGTGGGCTACACTGGCCGTCAGACCTTTAATATGTAATCTTGGTCTAAATTACTCAGGCCAAGGATGTGAGACGGCATGGGAGTGAAAGACCCTGGATTCAGAGAGAGAAAAGTTTCATTCCCTGTATTTAAGTTTCCTGTTTCTAAACAAGGAAGATTGAACAAGATGGCTCCTCTCAGCTTAAAAAATATAAGACATCTTTAGTTTTGGGGACAATAAAATAATCAAAGGACTTCAGGACAAAGATAGCAAACATTTACATCTACTTATTGCCTCCATGAAAGAGGCATCATTTTAATTTTTGACACTGGTGATATTTTAATCTTCAGTATTTCCTCTCCAGCCCCTGTGCCATTGGAAAATATATTGGCCATCATTATAATGGAAATGCGTCCAACAGAAAACAGCCCAGAGAGGTGAAAGTTATGGCAGGGATGGAGTGGGGGTGGAGGGTTGGCGGGTAGAGACAAGGAGGACAGCAAGGGAGGAACCAGGCAAACTTTGCTCACTTCTCAGTTTACTCTTCTTATGATACACATGAAAAAAACCCACATTATGGTTGCTAATTTTTTAAGACAAAAATATTCTGCCCAGAGCAGCCAAAGTGGATGGGATTTCAACATTTTCTAGGAATGCATCAGCTTTTTTCAATCCAGATTGTTTCTTTTCTCTCCAATAAGCTTAGAGATCCTGTAAATCACTTAATATTTCTAGTATTCCAATTGAACAATGAGATCACTTGGACACAGGAAGGGGATCACCACACACCGGGTCCTATTTGGGCGGGGCGGGGAATAGCAATAGGAAATATACCTAATGTAAATGATGAGTTAATGGGTGCAGCACACCAACATGGCACATGTATACATATGTAACAAACCTGCACGTTGTGTACATGTACCCTAGAACTTAAAGTATAATAAAAAAGTTCTAGTATTCCATGTTTTTAATATGTATTCACTGTGATGCATAATAGTAGATAAATTTTCAAATTAAGGTAAATTAGATTTTGGTTGACACTTTTGTCAAATGGACCGCTATTCAGTTCTACCTTTCAAACATCTCTCCAGCTTGAGTCTTTCTCTATCTCCCGGCTGTGCTGTTTCTGATCCTCTTCATCTCTCAGAGGCTCCTAGGCGACCCCCAAGCCTCCCAATCCATCTCCCACACTGTGGCCAATGATCATGTCATTCTCTTCCTTAAAATTCTTTAGTGGTTCCCTATTTCCACATTAACAAACATCAAACTGCAGGACAAGGCTACAAGGAACTTGGAATCTGATTTATGCCGACCTCCCCATATTTGCTTGCTCCGTCAGTGCACTTCCCAACCACCACCATGCACTAACCATCAAGTTCTTGAAATGTCAATGTTCTGTTACTTTTTGCCTTTGAACTTGTACTTACTCCTGAGTGTAAGGACTTCCCCCTTTTGGTTCAACAAATTTCCACTCATGTTTTTCAAGTTCTGGCTCAGTTTTATTCTCTTTGTGAGCCCTTTCCTAATCTGCACCCCGAGACCCTCCTGGCACTCACATCTCCTTGTTTTATATTTGTCTTCCATTCCGGGACTTATTAATTACTTTGCACTACAATTATGTCATGTTGAGGCTAAGAATGTGGACTTTGGGGTTAGACTGCCTGGATCTGAATTCCAGCTCCACAACATATTGCCTGGGTGATTTGAGGTAAGTGACTTTACCTTCCTGAGACTCAGTTTCATTTTTCATAAAATGGGGATAATAATAGTACCCACCTCATAGTATTACTGTAAAGATTAAATGACACAATGCATATAAAGTCTTCAGCACATTGCTTGGCACATGGCAAGCATACCATAAATGTTTATTACTGTCATTAAAATATACATCCACCTTCCTTCTAAATTGTAGATTACTTGGCAGCCATTCCTGAATTTTATACCTCTTTATCCTTAACACCTAGCCTGGAGTAGGTAATCGATACATGTTTGATCATGAATGAATGAGCAAGTAGATAGTTGATATATGTTTGATCATGAATGAATGAATGAGCAAGTAATGCCAGTGTTTAAGTCAAGGTTTACTTGCTTATAAGTAACAGAAGTTAATTCAAGCTACCATAAACAAAAACATGCTGACTTATTGGAAGTCTTCTAAGGTGTTCATGGACTCCAAAGACAGTTGAAACTTCAGAGGACAGAGGAAAAGTACTCTCTCCCTGCCTCTCATCTCAGCGTCTCAGTGTGGTTACTTCATTCTTCTTCCTCTGCACGTCACCTTTTCTGCTTCTCTGCCCTTGTGGCTAACCCACAAATGCAACTCTTACAACCAGAGTTCTCTACAAACAGCCCAGCATAACTGGTGTTTCTCAGTCTTAATTTCAAAATCCACCCAAGGTTGAGTCAGCCCTGCACATGGGGCAGGTCAAATAATATAAACCATCAGCCTCACTCTGTGTGCAGGGGAAGGCAGGGATAATATCAGAAAGAAAGAGTCACTGTAGCTTGTGAGAGTCAGAGTCATTCATTGATTCCTGAATGACCATGGGCAAGTCACTTCTTCACTCTTGACTTCAGTTTCCTCATTTGTGAAATGGTAGAAAAACCTACCTGACAGGGCATTTCATGGTTCATGGGAGGCAGTTAACATCAGTCTGGAGCAAAAACATACGTATTAACAGTTTATTGGGCTATAAACCCTGGGGAGTAGGAATGAAGGAAAATGAAAAGTGACGCAAGGGAGGAGAAAGAGCAAATACAAGGGAATACATTATTGAGCTAGCCACAGATTCATAGCAAATGCGCTGATTATTCTGTCTTATGGAAATTGTATAATCTATTGCATCTTGGAAAAGGCAATTGGGTGAGAAGAGGGAGAAGCGTTTACGTAACATCTCTTTCCCATCCTCTATTTTCTATTGGTCAACATCTGTTCTACAAAGGGTTACTCCCTCATACTTATTGGTTGAGTAACCTGGTTTTTCCAGGCAACTGCTAGAGAAAGTCAGGACAGGGTCAGTTTCTTCTGGTCAGCAGAAACCAGGTGTGGGGGTTCACCATTTGTAGCAGACAACAGCAGCAGTGACCTGACACTAAGACTGTGGGAAAGGTTTGAACTTTGCTAAGACCACTCAGGCAAGAAAGCAAGGTGAGTGTGTAACACACAGAGGCAGGGAAAGTAGGCATGGCTATGCATATCTGGCATGATGCATGAATTTAGTCTGCCATAATTTGTAAGGCTATTGTCAACTGAGGCCATGTAAATAGCAGTCTTTTAAGCCCAGTATTCTTTTTTTTTTTTTTTTTTTTTGAGATGG